AAGGAGGGGTCACTATGAGTTGGGTCCTACTTGACGGCACATAACAACAACACAACAAGCTAATGATATAAACTTTTTGACTGGAAATACTCACTTTGCTGTAACTTTGACAGGAAACATACTGACTTTGTTTATTGTACCTTCGGTTTCCTCATGTTGATAGAGAAATGCTGATTGGCTATTTTTAATGGCTTTGAAAAATTAAAAACAAAGAGAGCAGGGAAAACAAATATTGGATAAGTAAATAAAAGGAGACTTTAATACCACAACATTTTAGAACTGTGATGCAATTTACTTTAAAATACTGTTTTGTTGTTAGGTGCCATCAAGTTATCTCCAACTCTGTACAACAGCATGAAACACTGCCCGGTCCTGTGCCAGACTCATAATCCTTGCTATTGCTATCCATTACCATTGTCATTTCATAGGAGTCACTGAAGAATTTTAAGCAGGAGTCACTTTAGTGATCATATATATATTTTATTTTAACATTTGTCTCATTATTTTCTACCAAAATATGCATGAGGCTAACAGGGACTACTACATCACCATTATTTCTTATAAAACTTGAATTCTACTTGTCATAAAGCAGGAGTGAGCACTGATCACTGGTACATAAATTATTTAACAATTTTTCCTACCTTCAGTAATCTTTAAATGCTATTTATAAACAAAACACTACTTCAATTGGGGCATTATGAGAATGTAACTTGTAGAGAGTTTCTTAAAGGACTGCTAAGAATTCAGAAGAACAAGAAAGTAAGCATTTGTGGCAAAGTGGAAACAACACTGAATAGGTACTAAAGAAATCTGTGAAGCCCTACTACTTATGACACTTGCTCCAAACAAAATTGATCATGTTAAGGTCTGCCACCACTTTAAATTATGACTGTTACAGTAATGAAATCCCTTAGTGGTGGTACAAGCAGTTAAGTACTTGACTATTAGCCAAAAGGCTAGCAGATCAAAGACACTCGGAGTTGCTTTAGAAGACAAGCATTGACAATCTACTTCTGAAAGGTTAGAGCCTTGAAAGCCCTCCAGATATGGGCTTGCCACAAATTGGGATTGACTCTAGGGCAACTAAAAATAACAATATTACAGCAATCATGACTTTGCCATTATTTGCTAATGTTTTTTTTTACTAGACTACAACCTCATCAAGAGGAGGACTGTCTTCACTGCTGTCCCCAGCAGCTAGCACAACTGCCTCAGTTACTCATCTCTCAAATATTCACAGCTACCTCATAAAGACTGGGGCAAAGATGGATCCAGATAATCCATGTGAAGTGCTTAAAACAGTGCCAGGCCACAAATAAGTGTTCAATAAATGATTACTTATTGAATGAATGAAGTTCAAGGTTTGGTGAAAACACTTATAACTCACTGTCTAAGTCTCCCTGTAGGACTACTCTGGAATTTGGAAACACTCTAGAAGGCCAGCATTCTTGTGCTTTCAGCCTAAAACCAAAAACCAAACTCATTGCCAGCTAAATGGATCCAACCCAGAGACCTCTCTGGGTTTCCGAGACAGTATCACTACAGAAATAGATTGCCCAACCTTCCTTCCCAGGAGTGGCTAGAGGGTTTGAACCACCAGCCTTCTGGTTAGCAGTCAAATGCCCTTAGGCACTATGCCATCAGAGGAAATTAAGCAGTAGAATGGATAAATAAGAAGCCTATTCTGACAGAAACCGGCTTAAAGTTTAAAATACCCACACAGGAATAGAGAAACCTGTGAGAGCCTGAACATCACGAGACTTTTCCGGTTTTCTCAAGTTTTCTACCTTACACAGGGTGCAGTCTTAGCACTTTTCTAATTGGCTCTCGATTAGTGGAAAATATTTGCGTTTTCCTTCTCTGATAAGTTTCCATCTTACACAGGTTCCAGCTTTCTCAGGTCTTACTGTCTGGTAGTATAGTGCCTAAGGCATCTGACTTCTAACCAGAAGGCTATCGGTTCAAACCCACCAGCCACTCATCCCAAGGCAAATGGGGCAATCTACTTCCGTAGTGATACTGCCTCGGAAATCCAAGGAGGGGTCGCTATGAGTCGGTCCGACTCCACGGCACATAACAACAACAACAACAACTGTATATCACGAGGATGACATTTATTCAAAATATGAGAGAACGACAGGAAATGATTAACAAAAAAAATCCTGCTGTAGTCTTAACTTTTGAAGGAAATGCATTCAAACTTCAAGAGCATCATTAGCATTAATACCCCAGAAGTTACACTCTCTCTCCGTTCCAAGAAGCAAAATCAGGGTCCAACGTCAACATAAATTTTCAGTGCCCTTCCCTTGGGAGGCCAAACTGAAAGGGCCGGCGCAAGGAAAGAAGAACAATGGAACGCAGTGAGGGGCAGTGGTGGAAAGGAAATCAAAGGTCTGCATTCTCATCGGAGTTCCATCACTTACTAGCTGTGTGACCTTAGATAAGTGGATGGGAGAATGAAGAAATGGGACAAGGCATTCTCTTTCTCTGTACGACATCCTAATTTTATGTTTAAAAGACATAGGAGGGAATGCACACGGTGGAAGGATTAAGGAGGTGGAGGCTCATGCAGTCTCTGACAGCTTCTCCACAGCTGAAGCTGAAGTCTCTACCTCAGAGTCTGGGACCAGGCTGGAACTGAAGGCACCGAGCTGCCTCATCAATAGCCGCTCACCACAACTGCAGTAACGCGGCTCACCCCAAAATCTCGGTAAGAGGAACCCCTCCCTCTTGAGGCAAGACAGCGACCGCTCGGCTGGCTAAGCCCGGTAGCATCTCTATGCGGAGACGCCAAGTTCGTCACCTACCGCCTACGTAGCACCGGGGCAGCGGCCACTGCTACCCCTGCCTGCCGGGCCGCCGCCGCCGCCATCTTAGTCCAAGCGTGCGCAAGCGTGAAGCCAGGCTCGTCCCATGCCCAAGTCCTAAAGACCCGCGCGCAGGCGCGTTTCGGCCTAGAGGGAGCGCGTCCCGGGGAAAGAACACCCTACCAGTCAAGCGCCGGGCTGCGGAGGAGGAGCTGGGCGCACTAGGGTAATTGCGGGCGGGGCGGCAGAGGCACGCCGTTTGTGACCGCCGCCTACCTACTGCTACCCTGAGAACGCATAGAGATTTGCGCATGCGCCCTCCATAAGGCACGCAAGACTCAGCAAGCTGCGCGGAGCTGTATTCCCTTTGAGCTCCGCTGAGTGCTGCGCTTGCACCCTTCTTGTGATTTGAATTCAGGTTCCTACCCCTAAATTCTCTATTCTTAGTTATCTGGAAGTCCGAATTCAGGGAACTGGCTGAAGGGGAAGGTCCTTGTTTACTTTCAGCATTCGTAGGTCTGGCCTTCCTTGGAGATCTTCATGTGTCTTGGCATCAGTCTTCCCTTGGCCCTAGGAGGTTCTTAGCGCAAGGGACCTCAAGTCCAAAGGAGGCGCTTAGGTCCCTGCTTTTCTTTCTTGGTAGTAGTGAGGTCCCGCTCCTCTCTGCTTGCTTTTGTCACCTTTTATCTCTTGTAGGATAAAAGGTCAGCACTCCTTTTCCAGTAACAACTCATCCAGGTGCAGTTGAGGGTTGACCAGTAGCTCCAAAACAATTTTCCATAATACTTAATGCATCCAGTATTGCCTCATTGTTTGTCAAGCAATCCACCATCTTTTCCTAATATGCTAGCTGGGTGTGGGCAGCAGCTAGGGTAAAAACATCCTTGTCCTGGTTCCTGGCAGCAGCTGGGGTAAAATTCTCATCCCACTTGCTGGCGCATACTTTATCCACTCCCCTACCTTGGCCTCCTCTAAGGAGCTCCCAGTGCAGCTGGCAGCCCTACTTAGCTGATGCAATTTGTGGGCAGCTGGTGTAGTGGCTTGCCCCTTCAGTCAAACCCAACTACAGCCACCTAGACTGGTCTTTTCTCTGCATATACATGGGGACATATCCATCCATATGCCAAGTGCAAGCTTGTGGGAACCACTCATCTGTCAGTCTGTCATAC